CACTTAAGCTAGTGACTTGTTTGACGTGGGCGAGATGATGTAGTTAGAAAAGAGAAGATTCACTATGATACGAATATTTTTTGTTCAAACCTTTAATCATTTTATAGAAAGTCCCAACAATAACAGAGAGAAAAAAAATATATATATTGATTTACAAAGTTACGACGAAGATAAAATACATATTATTAATTTTTTTTTAAGGATGATGTAGTGATAATATTTTGGGTGTATTTTAAAATCTTTCGACCACTCGCCATTATTCTTAAAAACATGTGACTCAAAAACCATAGTAGCGTCAAATTTACATTAGTGGTGTAGTGGTGGAGGAGGAATATAAAAAAAAAATACACATTTATTTTTTCTCCACATATCACTCAATAGATCCAGCAGTAATTTTGGAACTGATATATACTGTACTGAAAATTAACGCTTTATTTTACTAATTTATTCATACAGTATAGTGTATAAACATAACTATATATGAACGTGTACTTTTTATAGTTATTATAATTATCAGAAACTTCTCATAGAATTGGAGTTATTTAAAGAAGATTCCAATTAACAATAGTTTTGCTTTGACTTTATTGACACACGCAGTGGTAAAGCCTAAAGCACACTTATAAAGCTTCTGCCACACAGCATCAAAGACACGTGGTCGCTGTACTCATTATTTACTATCATCATGGCAGTTATTCATTACGTCAACTTCACCCGCAGGAACCATTAAAGACTCGATATTACTGAATGATGTATAACCACACTGCAACAACTAAGAGCTTTAAACATGTATTCTAGGTTAATACATAGACTACTGTAATCATCAACAGGTAAATAGTGAGAGATGCATCTTTCTGGATCATCACTGTAGGTTTATTTTATTTTAATTTTTTTTTTAGAATACAATGTTTTTTTTTTTTTTACTTTGTCTGATAATAAAAATTTATCCGAAACTGTCGCCATGATTTTTTTTTGGGGGGGGGGTTATTGGTTTTATTGTACTATTAACCTTGTCACTGCCATTTCCATATCAATAAACGTCTATTATGCTTTAAAAAGGAGTTGATGTTTCTGCTAAATAGAGATACACACACACACACACACACACACACACACACACACACACACACACACACTTCTGATGTCCACTTTGACAACAATTAAATATTCTCTCGGCATCTCACGCCTTTGAAGGTCATCACTGGTCATTAGACTAATGGTGTAGCTCATTAAAATCATGTCCCGTCCAGCCGGTGTATTAAGGAAGGAATCAACAAGCGGGAGGTTTACTGCCTTCTAATTTAATAAACTGATAATCAAATAATTACCTGTAATAATTCCCAGTATGTGTATATGTTATTTTAGTGCACAGTTTAATTCGTATAATTACTCCAGGTGATAATTGGATTAATGTTCTATTGATATCATGCAAACCAACTCGATCGTAGGTAGTTACTGGGATGGGTGTAAAGCTAATTAGTTCAGCTCTGTATATTTTAGTCTCTATGTAATCTGTTTCCTCTAACTTGTTATCTGGAGGCACATGGTTCTGTATTTCACCTTTTATTCAGATATCTGTAACTCCTTCACTACAGGAACGCCACATTTAATATTTTGACGACGCCAGATTTATTTTATCCAGCCCAGAGGCGACTGCATGCAGAAGGGATTAGTATAGCTATGTAACCTTAAAGATCTATTCACGTTTTCTTGAATAATGTGTAATTTTTTTGTGTGTTTGGTATTTATGTTAAAAAAAAAGTGTTCCTTGGGCCGAATTTCAACCATGGATTTTTTGGTTAAGGTCACTGAGAGGTCAAAGGTCAAATTAAGAATGCATATGACAGGCAGATCTGATTTTCTGTCTCTGTTGTATAACCGTGGGCGTCAGAGACCTTAGTCGATGTTTTCTATGAAGAAGATAAATGGTTTTTAAATTGTAATAGAACGATGCAGAGTTATAGTTCAGATTTTACTTTGTGTGTGTTGTCGGGATTCTAAGTCAAGGACCGCATGTATGGGGCCAACTCAAAGCACTGCTACAAGTATGTCATAATTACACAGCACGGCCTCACCTCTCTACTCTATGAGCTGTCTACTGCCTCAGGTCTCTCAGTCTCTCAGTTTTCTACCGCCTCAGGTCTCTCTGAGTCTCTACTTTCTTAGGTCTCTCTTAGTTTTCTACTGTCTCAGGTGTCTCTCAGCTTTCTACTCAGGTCTCTCTCAGCTTTACTGCCTCGGGTCCCACAGTACCGTCGTATCCCACACCACTACCTCACACTACCACCTCACACCCCACACTATCACCTCACATTACCACCCTATACCTCACCTCATATATTACCCCCCCCCCCACCACCGCCACTATATAGATCGGCGTGAGCACCTTTGTACCGTACCCTCTGTCACGCGATCACAGAGGAATGGGTTGATAGAATTTACCCACCATTAACCTCGTGCCCAACCCATTACCCCCTTGTCACGTGCAGGCTGAGAGAGAGAGAGAGAGGGGTGTTGACATATGACATAAAGTCTCCCTCTCCCTCTGAGGTGTGGTGTGTTTACAAACCTCGTATCCCTCTTAGCCTTTATATAATTCAGTAAGGAGATTAAAAGTGTCCCGCCCCCTATCCAACCTCTATACGATTAACACGTCACAAATTATATGTCAAAACAAGGTAGCTTCATGTCAACTTGATTGGGCTATTCAGTAGAGTGTAAATAACGTCAAAATGGGTAAAAATAATGGGGTAATGGGCAAAGGAATTAGTATATATATTTTTACTGGAGTTGCATAAGTGTGTTGATCTCCTTCCTAGACGTATAGCAGGGTGGTGTACTGGCACGAGTTCAGGTTGAGTGATGACTGCTGTAAAGTTATACTGATTGAACCAGATCATACACAGCACATAGGAACCAGATCATACACACCACATAGGAACCAGATCATACATAGCACATAGGAACCAGATCATACACACCACATAGGAACCAGATCATACACACCACATAGGAACCAGATCATACACACCACATAGGAACCAGATCATACACACCACATAGGAACCAGATCATACATAGCACATAGGAACCAGATCATACACACCACATAGGAACCAGATCATACACACCACATGGTCTCATTAACATCAAACAGTTAACATTATCTACTGAGTGAAATGTGAGTTTATGAAATGATAATAAGACACATGACTATGAAAGTTGATTTTGTTTTCAATATTTAGGAATGAGATCAAGAAGATGTAGAGGTTGACTGAGAAAAGGGACAGGTGACATTAACAACATGCCTTAATTGAACATGACGCCATATAACACGTCAGGGATTGAACATGACGCCATATAACACGTCAGGGATTGAACATTACGCCATATAACACGTCAGGGATTGAACATGACGCCATATAACACGTCAGGGATTGAACATGACGCCATATAACACGTCAGGGATTGAACATGACGCCATATAACACGTCAGGGATTGAACATGACGCCATATAACACGTCAGGGATTAAACATGACGCCATATAACACGTCAGGGATTGAACATGACGCCATATAACACGTCAGGAATTGAACATGACGCCATATAACACGTCAGGGATTGAACACGACTTCATAATCGTGAAATAACTGTCTTGTACAGGTTTTTAGCGTCACGTCTGGTCTACAATATGATCGTTTGTGTCCAAATACTAATCAAGGTATTAGTAATGTTGTGTTGGACGAGTGTAAGGAAGACTACAAGGGGATTATTCTATTGTGTTCCTGCTTATAAAGGATTGATGGAGATAATGGATACCTAACCTAACCTAACCTAATACGTATGAACATTCTAAGAAGGTTAAGATTACAGGGATAAAGATTGGGTCCTAAAGGGTTCTTATATCACAGGTACAATAACTTATAGCTGTCCTGAGGGAGCACTTTGGGGTGATTCTGGGGTGACGTGATGTATGGTGGTGACGTGGGGAGAATGGTGGTGACGTGGGGAGAATGGGGGTGTCGTGGGTGGTGTGGGAATGTTGTGGGTGTTGTGTGGGAATGTCGTGGGTGGTGTTTCAATGTCGTGGCGTGTCAATGTCGTGGGTGGTGTTTCAATGTCGTGGGTGGTGTGGGAATGTTGTGGGTGGTGTGGGAATGTCGTGGGTGGCGTGGGAATGTCGTGGGTGGCGTGGGAATGTCGTGGGTGGCGTAGGAATGTCGTGGGTGGCGTGGGAATATCGTAAATGGCGTGGGAATGACGTTGGGGGTGATAGGAATGTCGCAGGTAACATGGAAAAGGATATTTTTGGCATGAGAATGTACGTGAAGTGGTTATGTGAAAAATGAAGGGTGTGAGAATGACAGAGTGAGTGAGAATGTCGTGAAAGGCGAGAGGGAAATATGTGAATGCCGTAGAAGCGTGATGGAACATATGGGAATGTCCTGAGAGAGTGTGGGGGACCCGTGAACATATTTTGGGAAGCGTTAGAGTGTGATGAAGAGTTTATGGAAAGAATGAATGTCATGGATGAAGGGAGAATGTTGTGAAGACTTGGGGAAGCATGTGAAGGTCAAGGTGAACGTGAGGAAGCTGAAGAAAGCGTGCAGAAATGACGTGGGAAGACAGTGGGAATGTTTTGAAGGGCCGTGAGTGCATGTGGAAACGTTCTAGATGGTGTGGTAATATCATGACGGATGTTGCAATATTGTGAAGAATGTTAGAGCCTCGTAAATGGCAAGAGATATCGCGGAGGGTGTGAGTGTTTGTGTGTGTGTGTGTGTGTGTGTGAGCGAGCTGTACACACACACACACACACACACACACACACACACACTGCAGGTTAATCTCGATGATCCATCCCTAAAATCCTAGTAGATAACAACCAGACAACACCGAGTATCTACTGTCTATCAGCTTATCTTTGTTATCTTGTCTTAGATAAGATTAGCTTGATGGTGGACGTGGCTGTTCAGCAACTGTAGTTCCTTCTCGTCTCTACCTACAGAAGGAACCACAGATTGAACGTTTTCTTAAAAGTTGTTGACAATTTTCTTGGGTGTGGTTTATTATACTGTGGCTGGGGTGTGGTATGTGTTGGGGATATTGGTGTGGCGTTACTGTTTTGATTTTGTCAGTGACGAATAAGTGAAACTGAGATGGCTTCTCTGACTGACGTAAACCGGTTAAACTTCGCCCGGTACGCCAGGTTCATATTTACTCTGGGCCAGCGTACCATGCTACAGGCCTTCCACTGGCTCTATAAAGGCGGTTCCATGAGTTTATATGACTTCCTCAGCTCACAGTCTCTAGAACTAAAGGGCTTCTTCTCTTCAGAAAAAGAGAAGATAAAAGGCGGAGAGGATCCTCTAGGTATGGACATAACTCTGCTCTACAAGCTCCTCAGACGGACGTGTGGTCTGGCTGAAGACGACAAGGCATGGATCCCCACGCCCGAATCGCCCCAAGAAACAAGTCTCGAACAGGCCTTGTATCAGTTGAAGGAACTCCGCGGAGGACTGGGTCATCCCCACCCTGAAAACTTCATCAAGATCTCCGACAAAAAACTAGATGCCCAGATGAAGGAACTTCGAGCACTTTACTCCAAGGTGTTGACCCTGGCAGGAAGAAAGGCCAACCAGAAGAAGTGTGTCGTGGAATCAGCGATCTCCACCATGGAAGAAAAGTTTCTGCAAGAACGGTACTCCGAGTCTGGCATCACAGAGTCCGAGTTCTTGAATATGAGTTACCTGGAGCTCTCACTGCAGCATATTTTAATTGGCAAATTTGATACCTCCAAGTACCTGGAGCCACGTTTCATGGTGGAGAATTTCAAGCAGGTCACAGATTCTCCTACGGTTATCCTGTTGAATGACCTGCTTGGCCAGACCTGTAAGGACGAGTCTAGATCACAAGTGATAGTCGTAGTGGGGGAGACCGGGGCCGGAAAGACCTCACTCTGCCAGTAAGTTGTTTAAGTCTTGTGTGTGTTGGTCTCTGAGGCTGTGTGTTGGTCTCAAGCAAAACTGAGTACGAAACACAATTCCGTACGAGGGACAAGAGGCTTAGTAACACGAGTATAAATCGATACTTATGAAAAAATTCCCTAAAGGAAAATACATGTCCCCCCTGCAAGGTACGCTACACAGCCAAGGTGGTAAAATACATGTATATTTACTATGATTTAACCCCTAAAGAATGATGAATTGATGACTTAAGGGGTTATGTCGTCGTACTCAAGGGGTTAAACATTATGTCTGGCCTCTCATACATAGTGGTGTAGCTTTATGTTGTTATTATATATTTCATTACGGTGCTTCGACGGTGCTATTAATTACACTGCATCAACAATTACAAATTCAGAGAAGTGCTGTAGCTTAATATGTGAGTTAGAATATGTTGGTAAATATGTGGTACTTCTGGATAATGTTAAAGTATGACGGTCAGTATATTTTGGTTAGGATATAAATTAGTATCAGTTGGCAGGTGTGGGATTTTACAGCATTTTCTTGTCGTGCAACTTTTAGGCCAGCGGTTCAGAGCCAACGCCTTTTAAACTGTTTTTTAACAATTTGTTTGAAATTCACAAAAAAATGGAACACAGTTTTGGCGCTTAACTACAAAAACAGCAAAGGATTCCAAACAGAATTTCTTTCTATTGATCCAACAAAGACGATTGGATAAATGAAATAACAAACAGCCAATCAAAAACGTGTTTACAAATGGACATTGGGTAAAGGTCCTGAATGGCGGCTCACTTGTTTCTTCGTTACGTAAACAATCGCCTTTTCTTTTTATTTTCCATTACTAGACAGCCAGTACCCCACTGCATATTTTCATTTGAGTTTACACGAATATCAGAAACGTGAAAAGGCGACCCTAAAAGCAGGGAATCTGGACGAGTTTGGAATACTCTCTCATGCCTCGTGTGTAAAGGAGAGTTGCATACAGTATTGGAACTTTATCAGGTATGGATAAGAATTATTTATATGTATTCATTATCATACGGTCATTTATATAATTTTATCACTAATACTTCTAAGTTTCGGTCACTGTGAGGTAATTGAAAGGCAGTGTTACATGAGGTCGCAAGAATGTCAACTAGAGGGATGTGTTAATTAATTTCTAACTGTTGATAACTTGTCTCCTGGTTCAATGGAGGACCAGCCACTATGACCCATCCTCATAATACCCGATCTGTTCAGTAGTCCAGGATCTTATATCTAGCAACCTTAAGGCAGAGTTAATTATTATTTATTTACGTAGTTAGTAAGATATGATAATAATAAGGTGGACAGGGTATCGCTTCACTAAGATATGATGAAATAAAGGTGAATATTATACTGTTTCAGTGTTATGTTGTTGTGATATTGGTGAAAATTGTATTAGTTCACATCAGCTGCGTGTTGAAGTGTTCCATCACTCAACATTTGGTTCATATAAACTGGACAACAACAAAAAAATATGCACTCATGTTATTTTTACCACTTTGTATAAACTGTCAAACGGTAAAAGTATTTAAAACTCCACGAGGATATAATGAGATTGATACCGTGTTTTACAGGCTAGTGAACCCATTAACGCGTTTCATGCGCTTAACGACACACAACTGGAAATCGTCATGTTTACAGTTCTCCCTGAAATGCTAAATGTAGACGAATATATAGACGTATGGTTTTAAGGGTGAGCTCACAACTTATGTCCATACCTTTACTGTCATCTATACTACATCCACTACACTACACAATCTACGTTCCGTTAATTACACAAACACACTCAGGATGTTTAAGCTAAGGCAACACTGGACTGTTAAAATAAACAACAATGTGGGCTGTTTCGTTACACCATTATGTGCATGAGAATTAGAGTTGATAGAAAATAAAGAATTCTCAGAAAAATTAAAGTTAGCACAATAAAGACAACAGAGTCTTTGGCGTTAATATGTCCAACATAAAATAAGGTGAATATAACTTCTAATAAGCATTTGTTTATCATAGTTTTACGAACTACTACAAATTTGTAGACAAAAATTCAGTTCAATCTTGAAATTTATTACTTGTTAGGTTAGCAGGAAATTACTTACAAATATACAAAATACAAATAAATTCATAACTTATTCCAAGTAACAATTAGTAGCAGAGGAGGTAATTAAAGTCTACTTAGTTTTTTCTAAAGATAAAACAACACAGTGTAGCTGAGGGCGACATTCAGTAATATCCTCACGCCGCCGTTGTCTTAGTACCTACCTTGTAATTACTGTAATAACCAGAATTCATATGAACTATATTGTAAAGTGGGAATAGCAGTATTATAATATATCAACACTAAAGTGAAGTCAGAATTACTTACCACATTTACATATTAAGAATATTCTCCAGTGTGTCAACAACTCATGTGGTACAGATGCACACTAATCACTGATTGTTAAAGTTATCAGTTACTGTCTGTCTATTTATAATCATATTTAATATAACTTTACATACATGAGTTAATTAACCGTAATTGGGTTCATTCTAAGACTTATGATGAGTCTGGATCAGTGGGAAGGTCAACTTTCTACTAAACAGTTACTTATTTTAGTCATATAATTGATCCCATTTTTTCCTATTAGATTTATACATTGGCTTTATTTTTATATTTCACAGATGTCTTAAATTTTGTTTTATTATCTGATACCTTGATATTATTTCCTTTTCATTCCTTCCTTCACTTTAATCATGATCATTGTACGGTTCTGGTACTTTAATCATGATCATTGTACGGTTCTGGTACTTTCATCATGATCATTGTACGGTTCTGGTACTTTCATCATGATCATTGTACGGTTCTGGTACTTTCATCATGATCATTGTACGGTTCTGGTACTTTCATCATGATCATTGTACGGTTCTGGTACTTTCATCATGATCATTGTATCATTGTCATTGTACGGTTCTTTAATCATGATCATTGTACGGTTCTGTACTTTATGATCATTGTGTACGGTTCTGGTACTTTCATCATGATCATTGTACGGTTCTGGTACTTTCATCATGATCATTGTACGGTTCTGGTACATCATGATCATTGTACGGTTCTGGTATTTCATCATGATCATTGTACGGTTCTGGTACTTTCATCATGATCATTGTACGGTTCTGGTACTTTCATCATGATCATTGTACGGTTCTGGTACTTTAATCACCGGTTCTGGTACTTTCATCATGATCATTGTACGGTTCTGGTACTTTCATCATGATCATTGTACGGTTCTGGTACTTTCATCATGATCATTGTACGGTTCTGGTACTTATTCTATTTCCATCTTTTGTTTATTTCTGCCTTACACGAGATCTCAATACCTCTGTTATTTTAGTCCCATTCCATTTATTTTTTATTTATTTTTGTATTTCTTGATTTTTTTCCTATACTTTGATTAACTCCCAACTCATTGCATTTTTGTATATATATATATTTTTTTTTAGTTTTTATTTCATATTCACTTTTTAATATATATTGATACACTTAATTTATACACCCTCATTATTCCCTTGTTTTCCCATAAGATTATTTCTCACTCTCCAATTTTTTTTTCTTTTTTAAATTTATTCCATTGTTATTATGTTTCTTTTTCTTCAAAATTTTCCCCCAACAATACAAAATATCTGATATTGTTATTAGTATTATTTCCATGTCTACATGTTTATCGTCTCACTGTTTTATTTTCAAGTTCTTAAGTTTTAGCCTCATGGTCTGACTCACAGTTTACCCCTTGTTTGGTTATCGAGTTTTGGAATTTTTCTTGGTATAAAATATAATCTTTTTAATTCCCAACAATAGTATTTGCTTTATCCTGGGGTGAGTGAGGGCCATGTATTATGATAGCTTGTTATGTTACATCAATGAGTTTGTCAATGATTATGTTGTTTCCTTTATGAATGTCAAGTAATCTTTCTTCTTTTTAATTTCTGTTAGCAAACTCACCTGGTCCTGGTTCTGTTGGTTTCTCTTCCCTTCCTTACCTTTATTTCACTCACACATTATAATGGAATATTCATTGAAATTCACAGCTTCAATTACCATCTTTACACCTCCATTAAACTCGCTATCATTTCTTGGAGTATAAACCTAAAATCATTGCCATGCCTAAAGGTTCAGCATTAAACTCTACTAACAACTCTACCTGACTCCTGTTTCACCTATTATAGTTTTTACCTCCTGGATATGTAAAGTGACATTCTTCTCCACTAATCCTTTGTGAAACTGTCCATATTCCTTCATGTAGTCCCAGAATGCTCCAGTGTAATCTCTTCATCTTCCTGCAAAGATATGCTTACTTACTACCATCGCATAGTGTCCTCGCATTCCAAGTTCCTATTTTAAGTTCATGCCCGTTCATTCTTAAGCTCTCTTAATGCATAGAAACACTCTCGCTAACAACTTGTTCTTTTTTGTCGCAGGTTTATGCGGAGTTCATGGTTGTTTGGCCAAAGCACTTTACAGCATCTTAAGGGGTATCAGTTGGTACTGGGTTTCCACTGTAGCCAGATCAACACTCGTGACGTACACTACCTCTTACGCACCAAGATCTTGCCTTACGCCACGTCTGCTTGTGATACAGCTGAACTGACACGGTTTATGGCGAGGTTGAAAATTCTATGGCTTGTAGACGGCTGGGATGAGGCTACACGTGAGGCTAAAAGTCTCCTCAGGGAACTTCTAGAGATTCAGACGACTTCCCACACTGTTCTCATAGCTTCTAGACCTGAGCTCGGCGCCGCACTGTCAAGCGACACCTTCCCAATGCAGGAATTCCTGAAAGTCTCACTTGCAGGGCTTAATGCAAATGAGAGAAAAGAGTTGTTGTTCAGGAATATGCCCGAGATCGCCAGCCAGGAGAGTGAGAGGTCCATAATGAGGTTTATATATGATATTGGACATTTTAAAGAGCCCATGGAAAAGGAGATGAGTAATCCACTTAAACTCTTACTAACAGCCAAGTTGTGGCTTGAAGATCCTAAGTTTGAACCTAATAGTTCCTTAACACACTTGTACAAGACCAATATGGATATGCAAATAAAACATCTGATTAAGAAACTTCGAGATGATGCTTCACCTGCTGAGGATGATGCTGAACAAGTCATTAACAAGTGGCTTAGATGCTTCTGTAAGGTTGCCTTTAACTTAGTAGAAAATGGATCCTTATTGAGACTTGATAACAAGAGTATTAAGCAATTAAGGGCAGGTTGTAGTGGCTTTGAATCATCACAGTTCCTTTCGACATTTCTTGAATATCATGCAGAACCTGGGGATAGTTCTGGAAGAGGTCATTATGAATTCTTACACTATTCCCAGCAGTGCTTCTATGCTGCATTACATTTGGACTTCACCTGTTCCCAGGCTCAAGAACCTGACATTAAATTCAACGAAATATTTCAGAACTATGCAAGAGAGTCCAGTGATTATATAGACCCATGTCTTGGGATTTACGATGTATTCATAGACTTTCTTGTCTTACTCATGATCTTAGTATCTAGGCTGAGTTGTGGATGGGTTTGTTCACAGATGAATCGCACAGACTTTCATCAGAAGCTTCAACAACTGGTAAGGAAACTGATTAATCTAGTGAGAGAAAGGTGTTCACCACAAAACAACAGAGTGCCTGGCACCTCCAAGATGAACAACTATTATCCAGTCTTACTAAAGGTGTTAGAAATGCGTGCTGCTGGATTCTTCACAGCAGAAATATCAGCCAAATCCTTAGCTAACATGTTGTTTCTCTCACTTGATGAAGATAGAAATCCGACGAAGTGGTTTGAAGTGTTACATAGTTGTCGGTACCAAGAAGACCTGGTGGAGGAGGCAGCTCTCAGAGTGGACACCACCAAATGGAATGTTACTGACGGTGACTTGAAAGCCTCCTGGGAGTTTTTTTATCATGTCTTCCCTAAGGAAATAATCATCACCATCACGAGTGACCCAAAGAGGCTGTCAGATCTTGATATTGTCCTCTTTGCAGTAGCCAGGATGAATGTCAAGGTGCATCTTCACCTCAACTGGCATTCTCGAGGTTATGGTTTGGGTGATCATTCTGACACTTACCTGAGTCTATTGTGTGACAATAAACCCAAGTGTAGGATGATAAGCTTCGGAGGACACTTAAGTAGTTCCAGTGTCCAGAGTCTGACAGGTGCGCCCTGGATGGAAAATCTGTTTATTAGGGTCACAGATGTCAAATCCATCAACTCACTTTGCTCAATCACACAGAAGTTGAGGCGCTTACAGACACTGCATTTAGTGTATGACCTTCGAAGCTTTATCATTCCCTGCTCATCTTTAGACGGGTCCTTTGGCATCCTTAAGTTTATAGACGGAACAATCGGAGTTTTAATGCAGAGAGGCAGCAGAACTCTGAATGTCTACCTCTACTTGCCGAACCTGAAAGATTGTTTAGTAACAAAAGCTGTGGATTTCATCTCGGGTCTTAATAAACACTACACAGTACTTCACGTTGGGCACCTTGATTTCAAGGGAGTGAAGAAATTGATTGTAGGTCTGAATAATAACGCTGTATCTGTCGTTAATCTGGTTAAACCTGTTTACGTCAAAGAAATTAATAACTATGTACAGGTTCAGTTCGGTTCGTTGCCTCTTCAAATTCCATTGAAAGAACTGGTTGAAAAATGGCACGACGTAAGCAGAAAACCTCTATCGTTAACATTTGAGTAAGATCTCTCCCAAGAAAACACGTAAGATATGGTGCTTCAGGAGGTACAGACGATGTGGTTTGTGAAGTAGTTATAAGTGGAGAGAAATCATAATTGAATTTATGTGAAAAATTATCAAGATTGCCTCGAAAAGCTGATGTTCCTGAGTGTTCTGAGCATAATAGTAAAATGGTAGGATACTGAAGTAGTCAAGGGTGAGGAACAGATATTAGGAAAACAAGGAAGTGTAATGAGGAAAAATGTGCACTAAGAAGATTGTATAATGTATATGTTTTGAGGGAAACGCTCATCTTGTACTGTATATGGTGTGTTATGTGTGGAAGTTTATCGTGGGATGGCATGGGGCTTCAGCTGAGAGTTACACAAGAACATGACTGATCCCACACTTTACATCGTGCTACTTGTTGACATTATAGGAAGGTTATATTTGCTTATTAATTGAAAAACAAATACAATTATGATAAAAGGTAAATATTGTAATGTACTTTATAAATCAATATAAACTGTGATTATTTAATTGATTTAATAGCTTGTATTTTTCCTAAGTAAATTCAAGTTTACTAAGATCATTTGCAAGGATATTTCTTTATAACCATGACCAAAAATGTAAAAAAAAAGAAAAAATAGAAATAAACTATTCCACTATACTTGTGTTTATTGACCTCTTGTAATATTCAGACCAGGATCTTGGTTCATTTTGATTGTTCAGTGAGTGGTTAAGTGACGTCTGTTTAGGGGTGGCAAAGGATGCTGTTCCACTAAAATAAGGCATCGTTTTCTATATCGTAATCATGTTTCCGAGTTATTTATGGCATTTTACTCTGTATTCATGTGGGTTCTATACCGTGTGCTCTTTGATGCTTTACTTGTGTGTTACTATGGTCAGTCTTCTCAAGTGCTGGGTTCAGGTGTGTCCATTAACACTTTCACTACCGCTGGACGATTATATTCAGCTTAGGGAAACGTCTGGTAGCAAAAGACTTGGTTACAGCTTCAGGTGGCGATGATCTGTTGGCTAGAATGTTTCAGTCCTTTGTAAGGCTAAAGCCTGTACATGTGTGAGAGAATGGAAGGGGAGGTTAACGAAGTGAGAATGAAGGTAACTGTCCTGGTATTCTTGCTGTACTAGCGATATGGTCGTTTAGAGTGTTAATTACCAGCTAGTTACATGCACGTAACTAGTTAGATCATGCAAGCACGTTGAGAAAGACACTGAGGCAAAAAAATTTCCCTACGAGTGATGTTAATAAATATATATAAATACTGTTGACTTTGTTGCCCCCAGGTGACTGTTTCACGCGTCAGCTGTTGTTTGTTTGATGTATTTGTGTGTTGATGGGGGCGTGTGGGTCACCTCTCAATGTTATCTCCCGTGCAGCTTCCCTGTTTTTCTTTCATCACCAACATGGAAGGCCACACCCCCCCCCCCCCGTGCCTTACCAGTAAACCCACCTTGATGATTTTAACTATAAAATTTTCCATTATCCGAAGTGCCATATTGACCATTTACCGAATGTAGTTAGACAATGCGATTAGAGTCTGCCGTGTTATGTTGACTGTGTTTAACTACTGTATCTGCACGGCCACGTCTCCTCTTCACCCTATCTGGTCTACGTTGAATAATTGAAATCCCAATAAGGTAAACATTACGAAAGGTTTGTTAAATTAATAGACAACCATGATTCATTGATCGTAGCAACATTCACTTAGGTTTGGTAGGTTTGTGGAAAGGATTACGTGTGTGTGGGGGGGGGTGTATTGAGGGGTTTGTGTGTCTATTCGTATTTGTTTGTGTATACGTGTCATCATGTATGTATGTATGTATGTATGTATGTATGTATAATCCTTCTCTAAATTTCTTTCAAAAAATTAATCAAAATGTTAAGAGGGGTAAAAAAAAAACCCACCAACATTCTCCTTTTTCCCTGGAGGCATGAAGGTGAGAGGGAAGACCCACAGCTACGACAGGATCAGTACAGAATAGACGAAAGAATAACATAAGAGAAGAAATTCGATGCCTAGAGGGAAGAATCAAATGGTATGAGATTTTATAATGTGGTGGAGACTAAGCTGAAAATGTAAACAAACACAGGAACCTTGTTATAGCCTCCTGGTGTGTGAGATAATAGATGGATTTAATATCCTGATCTTGTTTTTCTTTCTTTTCTTTGTGTAGTTACGTATAGGTTGATGTGGTAGGTATGACGTGTATAGAAACCAAAGGAAATTCGTCGAGGCTTAAGTAAAATCTGGGATAAACCACATTTAACCATTTCTCTAGATACTGTAACGTCGGGAAAATGAGGAGAGGGTGGAAATAGCACACCAGAGGACCAGCAGGGTTTGTAAACTCGCAAGGGAGCCAGCTACAATTAATAAGTCTGAAGGCTTTGTCCTGGTCGCGCGGTTCTGGAAGTGAGAGTAACACTAAATCACAGACTTTGACTTAAAATTTGTTTACTGTGTGGAAGAGAATCAGACGTTGTATAATTTAGTTGTTCTGGGGAGATAGTTGAGCCTCTTGGGAGTATAACCATGATAGTGGTAGTGATGCGGGCTCTTCTTGTGATCAGCCAGGATAGACTTCAGTGCCGAATATTTTGATGGATGGGTACTGGTACAGAGCTGACCGCACCAACACATACAAAGTGGGTAAACATTGGTGTTGTTCCTGTAGGAGATAAGAAAACAATATATCTTTGTTTGAACGGTGGGTATAGTGTTGTTCTGGTCTGCAGCCTAATTAGATAGATAGATATTCAGTAAAATCGCCATGCAAGTTTATAATTGGTTCAATATGCACATAGACAGTGCACGTATACATATAAGCAACGTAGGTATACACTTTTCAATGTACCTAGAAAGCGCGGGTGTACAAACAATGGTAAACAGTAAGGCAATTCGAACTAGGAGAGCTAACGAAGCCATCAGATGATTATTTCCAGTAGTGGCGTCATTGACTAAGGGGTTGGTGAGTGACTGTACAGTGCATTGAGTGAAAGGAGATCATTCAAGGGGAACAAACATCGTATGGGGGAGTCGTCATTGTCTTGGTAAACGTCAGAGGTACTCGGGGGTGTTATTAGACACACACACACACACACACACACACACTTCCCAAGCTCACCTATGCCTCCCCTGCCTGGTCTTCCTCCTTAAATGCCACACAACGTAAACACCTAGAAAGAAGTGCAAAACAAGGCATGCAAGATTATTCAAACCCCCTTCTTACTCCACATATCAAGAAGCGCTCAACACACTGACCCTCTCGGCTCTCTCTGACCATCACCACAACCTCATCTGCAAATTTGGTGAGAAGCTTCTGCACCATCCTCGATACTGGCTCCTACTACCACCCGAGATCCCTCGTCCGCGAATTGCTGTTCGACACCACAACCGTATCCAGCCCGTACGAGGACGTACTGATCGCTATAAGAACAGCCTAGTCCCAATTATTGTAAAAATTATCAACAACTTGTAATCAACCAGTGTATTCACTCCCAGTCAATATTACGTTTTTGCGCTGTCACTAAGTTGAAATGCCCTGTAGTGTGACCTTCTCCCCACCTTGTTATTATATATCACATTTGTATCACTTATGTTACTTGTATATCATTTGTAAATCAAGAGACCCATTCCCCAATTATGTAACTGTATATTTTCAGCCTTCCGGCTGCCATGCTCTTTCAGTAAACCGTAAATTATTATTATTATTATTATTATTATTATTATTATTATTATTATTATTTCACACACACACACACACAAAAGACTATTCATCCAGGAGACCAATGTTGGGTTAATGAGACAGGTTGACTAAAAGGTCTTTACGCTAGATGCCATCAAAGGGTTTGCTGACATCATGGACGTCATGTTAATTTTAGTATGACAAATAATCTTAACACAAGGATCCAGTGTTTATGATTTTATGCTATGTAAATATTATAGAAGCGAAATTTGATTTTCCTAATCATCTCACCTTACCATAAACACTGAGTCTGTGGGACTATCAAATTATCGTAATTAAGCTTTCATATTGAGTATTCGAATTTAGTTTAGGTAATTTGAAATTGTAATTCATTAAGTATATATATATATATACTGTGGGTTTGTATGTGAGGATCTCATTTACCACTCTTATGCACACTGGATTTGTATGACTTGGGTGATGAATAAGTAGCACTCATGCATAAGTAAGTCAAGGGTTAGTCGTGTTAACTCGTCTCTCGCTAAGTTTCTAATTGTGTTTGGAGGAGAATTAAACACTTATAGTATATTCTTTATGTAAATAATCCTGGATGTTGGTATCTTATAATAGGGGTGGCGTGGTGAGCTCTTACACTAGGGGTCACCAAGTTTTTCTCCGTGTCTGGCCACAGGGCGGACACAACACACCTCACAGATAGGATTTCCTCTCAAAATGTGTTTGTTCAAATCCTTACTGATGATGGAGGTAACGACTCGGTTTTATTTCAGCAAACAAAAATGGTAAGTATTCAAGGTAAACTTAGGCAGTTTTGTTATATAATTGTTTATTTTAAGAGTTACAACCAGCTGGGTGTTATCTGTTGTTTCATGCAAAGATGTTAAACGTGGTGATAAAACAATTGAAAAGTACTTAAATAGTGTTAAGGAAATGTATTACTCAAGACCAATTGTAAGCATTTTCAGGTTGTTCTGCCTTGCGCTACCTTACTACTGACCAAGTTATTTAGATCATTGTTGGCATTTTTTTAAAGCGTCCAGGGAAGTTAATTAACTAACTGGACATAATACACAGCATAAATGTCATAATACAGTACTGAACAATTAGCCCTTCGTCAGGTTCATGATGACCTAACACTCAGCCACTGTGGTGCGGCTGATGGTCGGGTCCAGTCGTAATCTCGGCCGTGATTTCATGAGCTTCGTCCTGGTGTATGTCTGTCCTCTGTTGGGTGTTGTAATGCTCTTGTGCTTCACTCGACACAGGATGTAAGGGGGTGCTCAATAAACTAGCCCTCTAACTGCGAAAGGCAAATCTGATTTTTTTTTAAAACCTTGTACTCTGCCCTCAAGATATCATCTGCTTGAAGGTCTGTCAGTTTCAGCTGATGTCTAGGCACTAACTCGTCTGTCAGCTTCAATGGGATTCTTAAACCGTGTTCTATTTACAGTATGATTGCGAAAACCTGTAAATCGTTCCTTAATCTCCACCTGAAGAAACGCCAAAGACTCAAAAGACTCTTAAGACATAAAGGTCAACTCTGATATCCTCATTCTGTGACACGCATTTGCAACCTAGGGATTAATTAATGACTTGTTATTTTACCAATTTTAGCTCATTTTGTTTGGTTTGTGTTATATTATGTATTTGGAGTGTCTTATTACGAAAGGTTTGTTGACGTGCTCACTAGGAGGACGCGGGCTATTTAAAACAGTATCTGAGTCGGGTATCTGATTGGTGACTGGTGGTAAAAGTATCGCGCCTTGAGGGAGACACCGCAATAGAACCCCCCACCCTAGAATTCATTCACATTTGTTGACATTAATTATTTTGCTGTCGGATCTTATGGCGAATCCACTAAACCAAATATAGTGAGTGTCTCCATGTATATGTCCATTATAATACGGTAATTATTTATTG